CCCTTTCCCGGGAGGAGACGGCCCCGCCGCCGTCCTGCCCTACCTGCGCGGCGCCCGCCGGGGCCGGGGGCGGGTGTCATCCCAGCGGCAGCGATAACTTCGGCCCACGGCTCCCGCTTGCGGCCAGGAGCCGAGCAACTGACCCAGCTTTACCGCAGGCAGCGGAATTCAGACGGCTCTTAATGTCCTCAGAAATTACAGGGGACACAATTACAGGGGAATGCTCCCTCCACCTCCCACAGGGAAAAGCTAAACGTGAGCCTGTAAATAATACGCTTACACACCCTCTGGTCAATTTAAGTTGTCACTATAACAATTTTTAAATAGCCTAGTAGAAATGTAATGACAGAAAAAAATCCTGTTTTCTGCCAGTCTATTAAAATCCCTTTGAGGACTTTTTCATTTACAAGAAATGAACTAAAAAGAAGGCTGAGACCCTTCACCTCTGTCACTTAACAGGTCAGGCAACACAGCCTTCCCTGGACTTACAAATCAAGGTAATGCCTCTGCTCTCCCTGTACAAAATCTGGACAAATTTCAAGCCAACAGACATTTAAGTGAAGCTCAGTTGTGTAGTTCAGCTCACTAGCACCTGTTCAGCTTCAAATCCTAACAAACATTAAAAGTTAGGTAGCTATGATGAATTAATCTTTGCCCCCAATCCCAGATGAAAGAAAGGATGAGAGTCCAAGAGATCCAAATATCTAGAAGGTGAGACACATATAAAAACCCCTAATAAACCTTTAATTTGAGTTTGTTTTGGTTTTTGTTTATACAGGACAGGGTGACAAATTACAACAAACCTGATTTTTCTCAAATGTTCAGGTATTATACACATTCCCATCTGTCTTGCAGGAAGGGATATTGGTCAACTTAACAGTTTAAGGTAAAATAAGCTGCATAATAGTACATATTACAATAATAAAATGTACAGTGTTTACAAGAAATATATTTTAGAAGCAAGATGGATGCATTTGCATCGAGGCGACCTTTTAAAATGCCACAACTATTTTTACATTCACTCTTGCAACAGGTCACAAGATGGGGTCACTAAGGTCAGGTTAACAAATCACTATGATGCACATCAAATACAACAAAATTAGTGTATATACATATATATAATACATATACATGTATATTATACATATACATATATGTATATAGTAAAACTCATCAAAATCTACCAGACCTGGCACAATCTACTTACCCATCAAAAATATGTACTTGTCCTCGGTAAGTAGAATTCTGCATGGCTGATTATATATTATATATACTCATTCATTAGCATCTGAGACATAAAACTGAGGATTTAAAATTTTTTTTCGGTTAACAAACTCTCCAATAATAAACATGGTGCCCACAAAAGCACAAAGGTAAGGCACAATAGGATTTTCTGTTGCAGAATAGTGTGTGCATCATGTTTACTTAACCATAAGAAAAACGTGCATTATTTGTGCAAGTTCATGCTGCAAATCCATCGTATCTACAAAGTAAAGTGAGTTTCAGTAAAATCTGCAGGACTGGTGTGCTTCCAGTCTCCCCCCGTACAGGATATTCAGCTGGATAATTAGATAAAATTGTTGTAGAAGTGGGGATTAGTAAAGCAAATAATCTTAGATTTGCAACTAAGCTTCTCAGCAACGATTTTGTACTTCTAGGTAAGTGTTAGTGAATTTACAGGCTTGGAATCACGAGTTTTACTTCAGCTGTACTTCTCATTCACATCAGCCAAAATTGTTGCAAGGAAGTATGTACCTTTTAAAAGTTTAACAGGTAATTGGTTCCTTAAAACAAGTTAAAGTGTATTGGGACAGTCACTTAATCCCAATGGTATTTTGTCACAGCCCTGGCAACTGTAATAATAAATAAAGCTTTTCACAAAATATTTTTCCAGTATCTGCCAATTGCTTCTTTATTGCTCACAAATTTGAATTCATTACAATTGGTATCAGACCTTTCACACAAAATCAGAGTCAGGTATTTTAATATAAAACCTATAAAAGATATTTAACCTGTATCTAACACTTTAAGGTATTTGGCCTCTTGTCATGGTACAGCCAAAACCATATAAAACATTAGGTTTTGAATAAAATAGGAAGCTTATTCACTGCTTCGATGCAGACATCCTCACAGAACACAACCATTTTTGCCACCACCAGCATTTACATTTATATACAAACCCTAGTACATCCGCATTCAGTTTGTTTTCCCTCACACTTATATGCAACCACTAATGCCAGATTAACTTTCCCCATACCCTAGCTGCAGAAAAAGATTCTTATACAGCAACAAAAAACTAATATCGACTGAAAAAGAATTGGTTTTGTTTAACTTATTCACCATCAGGAACTGTAGGTTGGTTGTTACAAAATACCCACAAGATTATTTCACAGGAAACTATGGAAATACAGGAAGTCTTCTTTTCTCCATGCTTTTGTATTATCAAAAACAATTCTTGGTGCAAAATTACAGTCACCACATCTGAAAATGTATAATGAAGTCGGTATTCCTCATGCAAAACTTAAATGCATTGGTTTACTATAGTCCCGGAAAACTTCCTGAAGCAATTCTTTTTCTTTTTTGTCAGCTCAGTACTACTGCCTCGTTGCTAAGTCCCTTTGGAAACAAGATTTCTGGAACGTTCAAACTTTTATTTAATTCATTAAAGTATTACATACAAAAAGCACTAAAAAAGGAAGACGGCAGCCAAACAGGAAAACTCCTGTTGCAAGTAACAGTCCTAGCAGTTGTAGAAAGTCTTCTCAGGAGCTTCCCTGAGAATTAGTTGTGCCTGTCCGAAGACGCAGGTGTGACATAGAGTTCATGTGTTTGTTTGATGGCTTCAGTGGAGCGTTACAGGTAAGCGCCTGGGGAAAACGATGATGATACCGGTCTAGCCGCAGGTATTTTACCGTTACCAGCTTTCCTATGAGGCAAGGAAACAGGAAAAGAGAAACCTTCTGGTTCAATATTCTTGCATTTTGCTGCAGGACATACTACACACAGACATGTCTTACACTGCAAGTAGTTTACCAGGTGATACAGCGTTTGTTACAGCTCAATACTTCAGACACAAAACCCTTCACCATTTAAAAGAACACCAACTGCATCCAACTCCCATCATTTCTACCCATGTTCTGCCATAAACCCCCATTCCTTACCATCAAACCAAGAGCCATGCAATGCCTTGAAAGCCTTTCCAGCATACTCTGGAGAGAGACACTTGACATAGACACAACCCTGTATTAAAGAAAGAGAGGTTTGGGGTTGGTTGGTTGTTGGTTTTTTGTTTGTTTGCTTTTGTTTGGCTTTTTTGTTTTGGTTTGGGTTTTGGTTTTTTGTTGGTTTTTTGTGTTGGTTTTTTTTTAAATCCAACAGACAAGGATAAACAAAGCATTAAGATATTACTGGAAAGACACTCACCTCACGCGAATTTTTGTCAACAGCAATATGAACAATTCCATCATTATCACTGCATTTCTCCAAGATTGCTTCTTGAATTGCTAAATGCCAGTGATCACCTATTTCCCTGTGCAAACAATGGAAGATTTAATTAAGCACATCATTTAAAAAACATTCACAACAATCTCATCCTTCCCCACTGAATAGGGTTTCTTTGCAACTTGACTGCATTTTCTGTGAAGTGCCTTTGGGACAGACTTAGTACATTAGCTACTGAATATTCAGTAAACCGCATCCTACGGTCCACTTTAGAAAAAAAATTCAACCCTAAGAATCAAATCAGAATAATCTGGTTTTGGGGGAAGAGGGGAATTATCCTCCTCTTCTAGCAGCCTGCCATCACCTTCCTGTCTGAAGCTGCAAGCAGTCATAAACTCATCTTCCCATAGCTGCTGGCCACTGTTGCAAGGCAAAGGGCACTCGAGGCTGTTCCTACTGCACCAGCAGAAGAGTAGAAGATGATGGCGTAAAGTTCTCTGCCCCTTTACTGCATCACCTCTACCAGCACTCACAGAAGCAGCATTACGTGCCAGGCTCCAGCAAGCTGAAGGAGTTTTGTAGCTATTCAGACAAGTGTTCATCACTGAAATAGCTATTCACTATCCCAAATGAAGCATCAAATTGCATTCGTCCCATAGCCCACTGATAGAACATGCCAATCTAGATCCACAAATAAATGTTATTGAAATCAGATTCCATTTTTGGGTGGCTTTCACAAAAAAAAATATTTCAACATTACAATTTTAACAGTCTTAATACACATTTAAGCCTGCTTGAATAGTCTTTACACAAAAAACAATGACCCTACTCTTTCAGTAATACTATCAAGAGCTTTGCGTAGTTCTAAAGAGTTTTCTCTACATAAGGCCCAAACTCTTGAAATATTTGATCTACCTATTCACGGAAAAAAACAAACAAACAAACCAAACAAACAAAAAAAACCCAAAAAAAAACACCAAAAAAAACCATGGTGGGGGTTAAAGCATACACAGAGAAGTTAACTGGTTAGGCATGTTACTTAAGTCTGTCAATCTGGACACTAAGACAACACTTGAGAGACTCCAGCGACAAGGAATGCCAGATTTGACTGTCATTTGAGCTGGACTGGTTAGAGGATCAGACCTGCCAGCTGATGCCCCTTACACAGGCAGATCATATATGAACAAGCAGGCAGAAGTGGGAGAGGGACACAAGGGTACAAAGATCCAAATGAAGTTCCTACTGGGAGAGAAACTTTCCAGTGGAAGACACCTACAATTGAAAACCCTGTGAAAGTTTGGAAAAAATGCACCCTGCTCACATTGGAAGAAAAAGAAAAGTTTTATTTTTACTAGATAGATCGAAATGAAGGAAATACACAAGTCTGTTTCTCCTTCTCAAACAGCATGAACAACAGTATTTTCTAAATAATACGCTGTGCTCAGGATGTTTGGGGAAAAAAGGAATTCCAAGTTGCAAAAGCCATGACCTTTAAAGGTCCCTTCCAACCCAAACTATTCTATAATTCTATGAAATCTTAACATTGGTACATTCATTCCCAGCCCAGGTCTCAAGGCCAGATTTTCTGGAGAAGCATGCTGTCACCAGCAGAAAGCCAGCTACCAGAAGAAGAGACTATATTGTTGCAAGTAGGTCTGCTGCTGTGGTCTTCACAATGTCTAGGTAAGTTTGCTGACTTCTGCCAGTAGAAAGATGATTATTTACTTTGTTAGCACTGATAAATACAAATTAACTGGTATATTCCCCAGATGACTCTCAGGTCAAGAGAAAAAGACCTCTGTTATGGATGGTTGCTGTTACCAGCTTCTGGCCTACTGCTGAAAAGTACTCAAGTCATTTATCATTAGTATACAATAGCTTGATTTAAAGACCAGCTGAAAACTCTTTTTTTAAACATACCTCGTAACACACATGTCAAAACACTATTTGCCAATCTAATCACATACATTGCTACATTCTGTGTTTCAGGTGGTCAGTGAAGGCATTCATCCCTTTCAGATACCGGGCAAGAAGATAAACCACCTCTCTCTTTTGACACAAACAGTTGAATAAAGGAGTTTATTTATTTATTTATTAATTAAGATTATTCCAGGAGTGTAATAAAAAGTACTTCCTTAAGCAGCAGTCCTCTGCAAGGCAACTGATGGAAGAGGAATAGACTGGGGAGTGCAATACAGAATTGGATGCACTATCCCATAAAGACTAGAATCCAGCAGTTCAATAATGGAGCTAGGTCAGCTTCCGAAAGAAAAGGTCTAAATATGTGAATGTACTAGAAGTTGCACTGTTTAAACAGCTGACTGAACATAGACACTAAAAAGAAGTGTCAAAAGAGAATAACTCTTAGTCCATAAATGCCTGTTTGTTTGGTTTTTTTTAAATGCACTGCCAGGCATAGATTGGGTCAGTACTGAAAAACACTGAAGTTTACGGCAAAGACACAGCCTATCAAAGGGAGAATGTTCTGACAAAAATAGCATTTCAGTTACTAGTTCCATTAACAGCAGACATTTTGAACAGCTAACACTTCGAAACAAGAAAGTAACCAACACAGCCCACCAACAAATACTACAGTGAAACTTCAGGAATGGCTTTATTCCAGTACTACTCAGACCAACCAATATAGCTCATGCAGTCCCCTTTGTAGCAAGGACAATTCAGACATTGGTCTCGCCCAAAATTCTCAGCAAATCTCAACTTTTATTTCATTCTCTTACAGAAAGATCAGTTTACCTCAAGAACAGTGCCTAAAATTTCAGTCTTGCTCACCCTACTGCAAGCTGAAAGTTACAAAAGAACCCACAGCTGGGGTCTCTGCCCACAGCGGTCATGAAGTCTTAAAACCATTGAGGAAAACAGTTTTTAGAATACTTCCCCATGCTAGGGTTAACACTGTCCTCAGCTAAATTAGCTAACAACTTTCCAAGTAATAAGGCAAGGAACTAAAATAATTAAGTGTACCTAGAAACAGAAATTAAGTAGAGCTGAAGAAATATATCCAAAGTTTGCAATCACTGGTGTCCATACTCCAGTGTCCCCTCCTACCCCCTGTTATTCCCTATTCTAATCAATAGCTTTTACTTTCCACTCAACTTCTCATATTCTTCAGTTCCAATTAGCATCTCACTTTTACTCTGTGAGGCAGCATAGCATCTTCATTTTTCCCTTCTATTATAACAATAAGGATTAAATTACTTCAGAGGAGTTATCAGAGTCCCCGTATCTCTCTGCACTGGGACAAAACCAGGCTTCCAAGATTAGAAAGAATCAGCTGGCATAACCTGTGTGTTAGTCCCCACCTCCTAACGTGATTTAGTCCACAGCCACTGATAATACTAACAGGATGGTGGATGAAGCTTTAGAAGACTAAAAAAATAATTACTCTTCTTTAACTCTTGGCACAATGAGACAAGGCTTGTAACTTATACATACACAGTACATACTTTAGAATTATATCTGAGCATCAGAAGCCAGCATTCTTCACTAATTTGTTTAAAACCTTCCCACTACAAAAATCAATTTGCTTCAAAATTAGGCAAATTAAATGCAAACTTTGAAGCTCTATAAGAGTTCAAATACTCCAGAACACTTAACAATACTTCAGAAGCTTAGAGTCTGTCTTTAGGACACAGGAGTCTCCCCTGTCAGCTGACAAACATTTACAAAATTAATTAATGGAGAAAGGTCAGTCACTGCTCCAAGTGGTTTGACTAAATGCCACACTCTTCAAGAAGTGACCCAAAGCAAGACAATGACGGACAGAAGACAGACAGGAAGATTATTTATGTCTTCTCACAGATGTTAAGTGGAAGATTTTTATTTTGTACAACCCATTTGTTTCTTTTATTAAGGTATTCATGTTTACTCACTTCTTCCAAACCCCCTTCAAGGAAACAAATTGGCCCTTACAAAAGAATACAGAAATACAGAGATAACTGGTTTTACTTACATAACTGGATCAAACATATTGCGAATCTTTAGGCATGGTGTCAAGCTGTTTGGTGGCGAGTTTCTTCTATCTAGATGAAATGCTACAAAGAAAAAGTAAATTTAATCGTATTTATTGACGGGCACAATACCATCTAGTTAATAAGTGTCAACTTTATACATTAATACCTTTCTGGTTTTACTCAAAAGCATACTTTCTTTTATATATGAAAAAGCTTCAAGCAAATTAAGTTCCCAGGAGTCTTCTACTGCACTGAAGAAAATGTACCATACTTAACTGAATTTTTTAGATTTAAAACTTCTACATTTAAAAAGATAATGCACTTTCTTCTATCCCAGCCACAATAGATGGAAGGAATTCAGGATATTTTAAAAAATACTATATAGTTGAAGAGAAAGTATTTGCATTACATCTTCATGGAAAGACAGATAACATCTGGATCAAATTTTTGGAACTGCAGGTTAACCATTCAGTTTTAACCGCCCAATGAATTTTCATTTCTTCCACTTTTGGGGCAATTTACTACCCATCTGACTAAGAAATAGGGAGATCCTCAGCTGGATGTTGTGTTGCATCTGTATTGCAAGTAACAACTGTGAAGGAGCACTCTACAAGGATGGAGCATTTGTAACCCCAGATGCTCTAAACACATCATCAGAAGCTTTCAAAAATCCAAGATGAAACACACCAGAGGAGAAGATAGATGTAAGAAAAAATGGAAATTCAAAATAACAGAGTACCTTTTTCAAAGCTGAACAATGCCATGAAATACATTCTGAGGATCTAAAAGAAATACTAACTTCTCTAAAGTTCACGAGTTCTGCTTGTAGGAGTTGCAACAGAAGACTGCACCATGAGAAAAGGAATGAAGGAGCCCTTCAGATTCAGATACGGCAGTTTCATGACTTGAGAAGGGCCAACAAAGCAGCAACAGAAAAGAAGGGGATAACCTGAAAAAAACAACTTGCAAGGCTGGAAGGAAGTTTTACTTTGAAGACTTGACATGAGTAGATTCAAGAGTTTGAACATAAGATCAAAAACCCGAACAAGACAAAATGATGTTCCAAGCTGATGCTAATGCTTCTCCTTTGCAACCCCTACTTTGGAAAAGTTTGACAGATTCAAGATGTTACATTCCAAGTGTTTGAAGCCACAGTTTTGGGCAGATGATGCTCCATGTCCTGACCTCTCAAAAGAAACTCTTGCAACTATATCCAAAATGCATGAACACTGCTACTCTTCTGTATATCACCAAAACAAAAACCCTGTCATGCAGAAGAAATTCAGTCCTGTTGAAGACACTGCACATGAAAGACAAGCACTAACCAAGAGAATATTCACTGCCTGCAGGTATGGCATAGATAAACTTGCTCCTTATGAAAATTCATGAGGCAAAAAAAATACCATTAACAACTAAAAATAATAAAAGGTGGCCTGCAAATTTAATATGGAACCTAGTGTAAGTTCCCCAAATAACTAAAAACGTTATTAGAATATATACACACAGTCCAAGTCACCAACACCTGTAACAATTGTCTGTTTGTTTTTTTCCTCCCCTGGGAATAGATTTCTAAATACACTGGTGACACTGCATCTCTCTCTGAGCTGCCTATAGTTCAAGGACAAGTCCTTTTTCAATAGCACATGGTTTTGTAAAGTTTTTTGCCCTTTATTAAAAATTATACATAGGGTACACAAAAACTTTACAGAACTAAGCAACATTGAAAAATGAAAGGGCTTACCTTACCCATGGAGGTTGGCTCCAGCAGATCAGGAGAGGAAGTGTGAAATGTCACCAGCATTTTGTACACTGGGGCACCACACCATACTGGAGATGGTGATCTGGGGTGGCCTAGTCATGGACTTGGACCTGAAAAGGCGTGGGGTTGAAGAAATTACGTGCCGATTGTTCATAGCTAGGTTTATTCAGCACGTGGTTTTCATCCAAGGATAAAGAATGGCGAGGTTATTTGCAGAGACCCTAGGCCCAAAGGATCAAAATTTCTGCAATGGCCTCCAAAAAAACCCCATCCTGCTGTTTAAGGCAGCAGCTACACCGCTGAGCCATGCAAAAGTCACTAAACGGGGAATTCACATTTGAGTGTAGATACTTATAAAAACCAAGCTTTGCCTCCTCCAATTTCTAATAACCTTGATGTCCTTTTGATTGGGATAGCTCAGGTGCTTGCAGAGATTACTCCAGCCAGAGCACACCACCAGCACAAAACTAATCTGCTACCAACTTAATGTAACATCATCCTCGCAGAGTGAGTGTGCCCAGGGCAGTGCAGCATATGAAAATAAAGATGATTTCTGCTTTTCCTCAAAAATGTTTTAGAGTCATCAGGACAGCTTTGCAACTTAGACAGAGCCTTTTAAGTACAACAAAAAAAATGGCTACAGAAATCAATGAGGTACAAACTTTAGTTAGTTAGTTAGTGCTAGCACAGTAATAAGCATTAAAATGTACACCAAAAGGGGAGTCTAGGGAGGACACAGACAAGTTAAAAATACTGTACCTACTCAGCAAAATTCAAAATACTGTAGTTAACAGTGTCTCTTGAACTTCATTACACATTTATGACAATTAATACTCCCCCTCTCCCAAAAGGGCAATTTTAAGTGACAAACCTGTTCAGATTACAGTACTATTTTACATTGGTGTGGAGAATACAAAATACCCTCCTCACAATACGGGCATACGCAGATGTTCTTGTGGGACATCAGTCTAAGTTATACTATAATTAACTAAGCACCTCAGGTGCCATTTCTCTTCCTAATTAAGTCTCAACAGTTAAGACTTACAAGATGAGGGTTAAAAGGTGGGGATGAAACAGGAAAGCAGAAGCCCAACTTTGTGCAATGTATCACTGATACGATCAGGACTTTCACAAATTCCCCTTGGGGACTAGTGAGCACCTTCAAGAAAAAGAAGCCACTTTCTATTTCAATCATAAGGTACTTTGTTTTATTACCTTAAGTTGAATATGACTGTATCATTTCAGATTCAAAGAACAAACGCAGCTAAAAGTGTGTGCTTTCATATGCTTTGTTATGCTGTGACTGGAATATGGCTACGGTGGAAGAAGTGGCTTGTGGAGTGCTGGCTCTCCCAGCGCAGCCATGATCTTGTCGATGTGATCAACCCAGCGTACGAATAAGGGTCACCTGCAACTTTAAGGAAGAGCTGGACTTGCTAACCGCAAGTAGGCGTACCGTCCATACGTCAGGACACATGGACAGCAACCAATTAGCTGTATGTAATTGCTGCGTGCTTTGCTCGTGACTATCTCGTGACTAAAACTGAGACTATAAAAGCTGTGTAACTCTGCTTAATAAAGGAGAACGACCATACTCATCTTGAGAGTACCTCGTTACTCTGGGAAGTCCTACTCCCACTCCCACAGTGGCTCTTGCACAAACTTCAAAATGAAGGTTTAAGAAACTGCTCTACAGCTTTCTCTCTCTTGAATTACTACTGTATTACTGCTGAAGGGATTCCCCACTATCACCACCATGGGTTATAAGACAGCCCAACAGATCTTTAGATGTGGATTTGAGGCACCTGATAAGGTTGAAATTGTGCATCAAATATAGGTAACCATGCTTCTGAAGAAAAGATTTATTCACATTGAGCCACAGATCACTATCATTTATTAAGTAATAACCCTTCTTATCAAAGACAAGAACAAAAAGAAAATATTTAGTTGAAAACGTTGAATTTATGCACTTTCAAACACAAGGTTCTTCAGCAAACAGGAAAGATACTGAAATCAAGATATTACTGTTATTAGGAGAGGAGAATTTGGTTGACTTGGAGATTAACACAGCTAAGTTCAGCTACAGAAGACCAGCATGAGATGGATACTGCATTTGACAATAAATGCACAGTTTTCTTGCAGTGGTTAAGAACAAAGCTTTTTAACATGGAGAGAGGATTATATTCTCACCAGCTAGGGAGGCCGAGTGACATTCACACAAGGTAACAGGTTATCTTCCATGCTGCAGGATGAAATATCACCCTAGATGTGGTACTTCGGAGAACCTCTTTATCTCATCTCCAGAGCTGTCAAGGAACTTCAGCTATTGCTGTTAGCTACACTGGAGCTCTGCCTACCTATGCTGCAGGTTCCATACTTAAAACGAGTGCTGCAATCTACTGATATCCTAGTACCCACTGACAGGTCAAAAGGCTTTCTTCTTCAGTTGCACCTAACTCTAGATATTGTGCTCTGCTACAGAGCACTACGAGATCTTACATGGTTAAGAAAACTGACCTTTAAATTTATTCAGAAGTTTCAAAACCAAGAATTCATTCTGAGTTTGTTCAGGACCTTAGCAGTCTTGACAAGTATTTAGATTTATGAACTTCTATATTCAAACCTCAAAACTGGGAGACAAAATCCTTTCAGTTGATTTATAGCTCCAAAAATGAAGAAAGCAACACATACATACAGAATTCCTAACATCAAGAAAGAAACAGCTGTGCAAAAAGTACATCACTTATGTAATGGAACTATTTCCAACAGTCATATAAAAACAAGGAATGCAAATCAGAAAGCCTTTGCATGAAAATTGCCTCTGCCTGCTGACTACCAAGATGTACAGAGCCCAAATGACCTATGTCATTTTAGCCACTCCTATTTCCATGCCCTTTTGTAAAGCCAAGGTATGCAATTTCAATTCTTCAAAGATCTTTGCTGAACTACAAACATAATGAGAAAACTAAGAAAACTGCTATTAAATAAAGTGAAACAGGATAGATCTTAACATGTCCTATTCATTAGAAACCACAGAGTCTTAAGTACATACCCTAGGCAACATACAGGTAAAAGCCACAGCTGAGGAATATATTCCATCCATATTCACAATACGCTAACGTAGGTATCAGATGCTCAAATCCAGAAGGTACTTAACAGTAGCTACTACAGTAGCTGTTTTTCTAGGAAGTTTTGGAAACTACTGTTCTGTTGAGAGTCTTGAATGTATAGTCCATGCAGCAAAGCAACACCTGAGCTACCACACACTGAGAAGTCTTCTAGATGAAGGAAAATCCAATCCAATTTCTAATACAGGACAGAATGTTATGGAGAGATTTATACTGTAATCAAATGGGACAAGAAAAGTTAAGAGCAAATGAGTAGTAAATGAGAAATTCCAGAACTGGAGTGTCACCTTTCACAGCCTGTACCAAACAAACTACGCAGAAGATTCAGCTTTATAATATATGTAGTTTGCAGAAACTATGTTCAATTTAAGTGTTTGAAAAAAACAGATCATGACAGTATCACAGAGATGGAACAGAGACAGCAGTTGATGAAACCCACCATTTCTGCACTGCACTGAAAACACTTGCACATCCCTAGTAGATAATGTCCTAGAAAGAAAAGGCTCTGCAACTCTTGCAATAAAGTTACTATTAAAGTTACACATCTTGCTAAAACTTTGAGAAACTGAAATCATGTCATACAGTTGTTACAGCAGAATGCCATGTTACTACTACTGCAGAAACTCACATCTGCAGTAGTATTTACATGGTATTTCTTAAAAGAAAAGCAGCCCTCATTTCCAATGAATGATTTAAAACGAGAAATGGAATGCTAGAACCAGTAGCTTAACTTTGAGAAGTACACAATGATATCTCAACATAACGTTTAACATAGACAAGCAAGAAATGTGTCTCAAGACTACTAAGACTCTCATCAGATGACATGCCAAGTGTCTGTAAATGTCTCAAAGTACTTGACTTTGCAAGTGGACAGAGAGAATGGTTTGTTTCTGCTTTGAACTTAAAGAAATGCAAAATTTGAGACTCAAGGGCTGAAAGCACATGTAGAACTTAAGAAAACATGCAAGTGGTCTGGGACAAAACCAGAATGTTTGCAGTGCCTTTACTGGGGTGATCAAGCCTGCTACAGTGTAACTGTTCCAGGCCACAAAGAAGCTCTTTCTGCCTGTCTTTGGAAAGGAAGTAATCACATTGGAAGGAGCTACTTTAAACTGTACCCTCTTTTATAGGAAACAATAAAAGCATTGTTCCTTAGAAATAAAAATGTATACCAGTAAAAAGCAAACGAAGGAAGCCTGTTACTATTTGTGTTAGTTAAACCAAGACCAAAATTACCATACTCCAGAATAACATAGGAGAGAGTGCAGCTCCTTGCCAGTGAGAATTTTTGTTTTGTTTAAGCGGGACTTGGAAGGTCACAAAGTCTGTTTGTTTTTTAACTAGGCTTTTTTCAGCATCTAGTTCAATGCCACAGAAGTAATGCACGATACAACTTTGATAACATCCAATTCAAATGGTTGAACTAAAAGCTGGAGAAGCAACCACTTCCTCTTCCCTCACCATCAAAATAAGCCAATGAGTTTATAAACCAGGATTCTGCACAGCGTTTATTTCAGTCCGACTAGAGAGATAATACAGCATTACAGAAGAACACAAGGCAAGACAGACTCTTTAGAAGTGCCACAACATCTAAACAACTGGCAATTGAGATTTCAATTTAAACATTTACCTTCACAGAAGTGGCCATTCTGCAACCCAGAATTCAAGTCATAGCTTCAATTTTTAATTGACAAAAAAAACCCCAACTCCATATCCCAAAAACTGAAGCTTAACATGAAGAAAGGAAGAAAATAACTAAGGAAAGATGACCACTGCAGACAGACAACTGCAAATCCACTGGATTCTTACTACTTGGGTCTACTATAAAGCTGAAAAGTGACAGAAGACCACTGCAAAATCCATGTATGACAACAGCCTCCTCTATTAAAGCAAATGCTTTGCTGCACCAGAGCTTGAAATACAAATGCACATTGTAGAAAATCATTCCTGAGAGAATGAAAACACTACTAGGAGGTGCTTAAAATCTCCATTCTGCTGATTGAGGAGTCTTTTGTCTCCAAGTTTTCCTTCAAAAATAAACACCTCTTCCTCCAACCTCTTAGGTACCCGACTGATAATGTAACAGCAGAAAACTCAAGCCTACAAACTCTGATTTACCTGCTGTCAGATACAACCAGTTACATTACTTCCAATAAGCATAAGGCGTGTCAGAATTTGACCAACTAGAGAGTTTTGGTTTGGTTTGTTTTTGTTGGTTTTTTTTTAAGTTTATGAAAAGAAACAAGCGATTCATTATAGCTACATGCCCCTCTGCTGTACTTCTGCAGTAGCTATTACAGAAAAGCTCATTTTGCTTGAAAAACAAGCAGACAAGGGAATCATAGAACCATTACGTCTGGAAAAAAACCTTTAAGTCATCAAGTTCAACCGTTAGCTAACTCTACCACAGCCACTTCTAAACCACATCCCCGAGCACCATATCTAGACAGCTTTGAAATACATCCAAGGATGGAGATTCAACCACTTCTCTTGGCAGCCTCTTCCAGTCTTTGCTAACTCTTTCAGTGCAGAAGTTTTTCCTAATGTCTAACCTAACCTTCCCCTGGTATAACTTGACGCCATTTCCTCTTGTCCTATCAGTTGTTACTTGGCGGGTGTCAGGAGGAAGGAGCCAAGCTCTTCTCAGTGACAGCCAATGACAGGACAAGGGGCAATGGGAGCAAGCTGGAGCATAGGTGGTTCAACATGAAGATAAGGAAAAGCTTTTTTACTGTGAGGGTGACAGAGCACTGGACCAGGCTACCCAGAGAGGTTGTGGCATCTCCTTCTCTGGAGACATTCGAAACCCGCCTGGACATGTTCCTGCGTGACCTACTCTAGGGTATCCTGCTCTGGCAGGGGGGTTGGACTGGATGATCTTTCGAGGTCCCTTCAAACTCCTAATATTCTGATTATGAGAAGAGACCCACAGCCACCTCTCTACAACCTCTTTTCAGGTAGTTGTAGAGAGCGATAAGGTCATAAGAACGCACAGAAAAAGTAAGGCTATTGAACAAGAAGAGAGAGAAATAGCACTGACAGTTCATAATAATACATAAAGGTGTGAGACAAAACAAGTCTTTCACATTCAAGCAACAAAATACCATTGAGAAGTTAGATGCAGAAATTAGAACAGTCACATTTGCAAAATATAACTGAAATTAAATACCTTGGCCTTGCCACACTTTCGATGGTATTACTAAAATTTTGTCACATGCTGCAGAAGGTTGCATCCATTTCCAAACCAAGAACTCTGCACCACCTATTCTTCGTGTCTCTGTGCGAACTCTAGATTCATTTGCCGCAAGAAAGTCAACTGCTCTACTCCAGACTTTCCTCATTTTCCTCCTTAAAAACAGAAACAAGAATTACAAAGTTAGCATTGTAACAGCCCGCATAGCTGACATTCACCACTAAGAGAAATCCAATGCTCTCTTTTTCCTCTTTGTGTAAGAATCTCCAAAATATTACACTATGCAACCTACTGAATTTCACTTAATTGACCAATTTATTATTATTGTCTTCCCTCTCTTACACAAGGAAATTCAATACTTCTCACGAGAACATACCTGTCCTGAGGTGGTATTAGAGAATCACGCACGTGTAAAATAGGCATGTAAGGCTGCAAGTCTTTATTTTCAGAACACGCCTCGCTGTGACTTCTTAGAACATCTGAGGACATCGTAAGAAAACATGGTAACTACATAGATCATGCAAACATTAAGAAAAATATCAATCCTGGCAATGAACAGCTACCCTGAAGACCCCTCCTAATTTCAGTAATTAAGGTGATTTTGGCCTTTTGAAGCCTTTTCCTCCTAATCATGCTGAAGGCAAGTCAAGAAAACTAACCACATACGGTGCGCCTTCAAGTACCCTAAATAACTCTGAGTAAAGGAAGAAAGATCTTGCAGTTACTCATGATTGTTGCTTTTAACTGTTAGCAAAGACACACACCTTTGAAAATAAAGTGCTTTCTCCCCACCCCAACAAAACTTGATTAGCAAACATAAGAGAGAGGAAAATTGTAAAAACAGGAAAATAGCTCCGATCTGTCTGCCATCTTTTTATTTACGATCATTCCCATAGGTGAAAGTATTAAGACCATTTTAACTAAAAATACAGCCCAAAACAGAACTTAAAAAAACTACAAACTACTAAAAATATTGTGGCTTCAATTAGAAAGCAGATTTTCAGAACTCAATTATTCTAGTAACATAATTTCTGCTTAAAGTGACTAATGAAAAAAAAGCCTCTTTTTCTACTAAAAGCCATTAAGGATCGAATTGAGAGGTAATGCACATTTTAGGAGTAGATATTTTAGCTAAACATGTCACCATGCTTCTAGTCAAACATCACATTTGTATTTGTTTTCAAAAGTAAAATAAAATACCACCATTTCAATGGGAATTTATTATAGCCACATTGATGTAATTCACAAATTACAATCTTTACACCAAAAGCTTTATGTTTAAAGGATGACTAAAAAAATACAAAACAAAAAAAACCCCACATGAACCATACATTTGACCGAAAATATTAACAGCATGATGACTACAACTAAACAGGAAGAAAAAAATAACTGAGTTTAGAAGCTTGCACAGAGCTAAGACAGATACATCAGATGTGACTCAAGAAGGCATACCTATGATTTTTACCACCATATCATACATTTGCCTCGTTTCTTCTTCCTCTTTTGCCCAACGGTATTTCATGTAGTGCAAGACTCCCCAAACCATTGCTATACCTGCATTAAGAAGTATAATAATCTTTAAACAGTGTTAGAACATCAGTTATTTAACAAAGTTTACAGCACATACTTCAGAAGCTGGTTGAACTAGCTAACAATTTGAAGTACTTTAAATTTCAAAGCTAGTGAAATACGCTGTACTCACTGTCAATTTTCCGTATTTTACTAACACAGCAGCATTAACTCTTAAACTTTGAAGAGCAGTTACCTTTAGAAAAACATTTGTTTTAACAATAGCCTGGTATCCCATGACAGTGGTTTGAAATCTGACCCATTTGTGAAGAACAATAGTAAAACAATTACACTGGAAAAATTCAGTCTTATAAAAAGTCACATAAACCAACAATTCAGAATACGTAAAGATTTCAGAATGCACCATATTCACTAATTCATAGACAAGTCACATGCTTTAAATATACCAGTAAAAACTAATTCAACTGGACTGTTTCAGTTTAGCTACAGATTTGTATTTCTTGCAACAAAGTAGTGCAGGCTGTTTTTCTATTACTTTAAAGATTATTCCCAAAACAGACAACATAGTTAGGGGGGCCAGCAGTGTAAACTGAAAATAAAACCTTATTCCTTCTATCTCGGGCTGAGGGTGCCACTACACCTGTGACCTCTTAACAATAAGAGCAAAACAAAACAACACACACACTAATTATAGCTACAAAGTTTGTTTTGTATATCAGTGATCACAGGGCAATGTTAACTGATATAGCAAAGAGACCGAGGGACACAATTTCAAGCCAAAATGAGTGTTAGTTAACGACAACATATCTAACATTTATACAGCAGTTTATTTTGAAAAGCTGCTTCTTATTAACCTGCATTACAGATGAGAAAGTTGAGCGTTGCAACTTGACTGGAATGTGGTCATGGATGGCTAT